CTTGTCCCTGGATTGGTTAAAACCACTTCCCTTCCCCCACCTTCCATTCTCACATGTCCCCCTGAACCATCGGTCCAGTTGTTTTCTTCTCCACATGGTTTATCCAGCCTATCTTATCCAGATAGACCTGCAGAGATAGTAATATGCACATAATATCTCGACAGTGCCAAACAAAGGGACACATAAAAACAATGTGACACTGGCAGCAACAACAACAACAAAAAAGGCAATGATATACAAAATCCAAAAGAAAAAAAGGAAAGAAAAGCCTGTAAATAGTTCAAGGTCTGTTTGTTGACCTGTAGGAGTGTTTTCCAGTTGAGTCTGATGAGGTGCCATGCTCTGGCCCCAAAGTCGATTTTTGGGGACTTCCCTTGTTTTGCTCCCCTTGCTGTTCTATTGCATGCCTTTAGTGTTTTGTCTCGGTGTGGTGGGGTCAGCTTGGTCACACATCCCACACGTGTCTCCAGTGTTGTCCCATGTAGGGCTATGGATCAGCGCAGAATGTCGCATCTCGTAGTAGGAACGGCCATATGGTCCTCTCTGTGCATTGGCTGCTCTGTGCTTGGGCTATTGTCCTCTGAGCGTGGTGGGCCAGGTGTGCTCTCCTCCCTTTCTCCCCCTTCATTTGCTTCTGCTTCTGTCTGGGTATGGAGGAGGAGTTTTCATAATACACATTTTTCCCTCTAGGTGAGCATCAAGCAACTTGCTCTCATTTAGTGCACCCAGTGGTGTTGCCTGGGAAGGTTCTCTCTGGCCAAGGTAAATTTTTCTTAAAAGCAATTTCATTCAAACCTTTTTTGTAATGGCTGATTTAAGAGAACAGCGTACAGCTGTGATTGTTTCCTGCTCAAGGAAAATGCCGCAGAAGCTGTGGCGATGCTGAACACAGCTTACAAGCACAGGGCTTTGGGAAAAACTCAAGAGTACAAGTGGTTTTCTCATTTCAAAAGAGGTGAAATGCTGGTTGAGACAAACCTTGTTTGGGGATTTCCATCAATTTCCCAAACAGACAAAATTCAAAGACGAATGACAGATCATTGAAGAGATGGGGAAGATATGTGGACTATATTTGAGCTCAATTCCATGAATTTTAATGGAAGATTTGGGAATGAGAAGGATCCTTGCATAATTTGTGCCTTGTGTTCTGACTGACCAGCAAAGAGTGTTGACTGGAACCATGCTGTGCTTTCAAAGAACAGCTCTGAAGTACCCAGACTTTTCCCCCAAGGGGATTACTGGTGATGAGAAATGGTGCTATTCTTATGATTCTGAAAGCAAACATCAGTCAAGCTAGTGGAAGAGGCCATTGTCTCCTAACACACACAAAAACTGGTCAAGTGAAATCAAAGATCAAGACGATGCTCATTTGTTTTTTCATGTGAGGGGGATATTGCATTTGGAGTTCATTCCACCAGGTCAGACTGGAAAGCTTTCTACTTAGAGGTTCTGAAACAGCGTGACACACACACACACACACACACACACACACACACACACACACGGCCTGAGTTGAGGCAGACGGGGGAGATGGTTCATGGAGCCATTTTTTTTTAAATGCAGCCATCTTAATTGTGTCAGTTTTTTTTGGCAAAAATACCAGTATGCCTCTCTTGCCCCACACACCTTACTCACCTGACCTCACTCCTTGTGACTTCTTTTTGTTTCCTCTATGAAGAGGAACATGGAAGCTAAGCGATTTGATGACACAGAAGAGGTGAAGAATAAAGCAAGGGAGGTGCTGTCTGTCATCCAAATGAGTTTGAAAAATGTTTCCAAGAATGGAATCACAGATTTGACAAATGTATTGTGTAATGGAGAGTACTTTGAAGGTGATAAGGTTGTTTCGTAAAAAAAAAAATTTTTAATTCCGTTTTTTGGAGTTACCCCCTTGTATATAATCATATATGCCCTGGTTTTGTCTCTCTAGAGAACCCTAAGGCATTCTCTTTCTTTTGTTAAAACAGCGGCATGGTGCAGTCATGCTAAGTAGGTCTGAGGTTCCACTTGTGGGTGCTCCAAAGGAAGCACTAAGAGCAGGTCACTGCCCATTTTGTTGGATGTGGTCAGAGGCAGTGACATTGCTCAAGTTAGGGCCACTCAGTGCGGTAATTCATGGTGTGAATCTCACCCCTCTCCCATGATCTCCTCCCATCCAACTCCATACAGTCTTTAGTAATGTTTATTATCAATTTTCACTCACTGCCTTTGAGTTGCTTTAGATGTATAGCAACCCTATAGGACAGACTATAACTACCACTGTGGGTTTCTGAAACTGTAAATCTTTAGAGGAATAAAAAACCTCCCTCATTTTTCTCCTGCGGAGTGGCTGGTGGTTTCAAACTACTGACCTTGTGGTTAGCAGCCCAACTACACACCACACACTACACCACCAAAGCTCATGATACACTAATGTGTCATAAAAATAGTTGTAAATCGCTTTAAGTAATATGAATACTAATAAAAATTTTAATATATTATCCTGAATCACATTAACAGAGCCTTTTCTTTTTCCTTTAATTACTTCTTTCAAAAAAGTCATCGATAGAAGTTCATAAATAGTACTTGCCACAATACTGTAGCTAAAACAGCAGAAAAAATGACAAGCTCAAAAGCAGTAGCAGCAAGGAACACAGGTGAAACCATGCTATTTAAAACACGTTTGAAATGGGTTCAGAAAGTAAATTAACATAGTTTTGGCCTGGTGGGCTAATTTGAGCCGCTACACAGGTTTAACCACATCTTTGTGGCAAAACTGTTCACTACAGATTAGTAAATAAGTACACCTGTGCTTACCCTGTTTGTTGGATACTCGGTCCCTGCCAGGGGCTGTAAATCTGAAGAGGTTTTGGTTCTGTGGGGAGGTGCCATGGGGCTGGGAAAGAGACAGATGCCTGCTATACTTAGATGCAAAAATGTTGGTATGGTGAAAATATGTGCAACAGTTCACAACAGGTTAGTAAGCACAATCAAATATCTACCTTGTTTACCAGGTAACTCAACACCGCTTTTGGGTATACTGATACAAATAAACTGTGTTTAAACAAAAGTGTTTTTTTAATTGTTATAACTACAGAGACGTTGTTAAAATTTTTTAACAAAACATACTAAAAACGTATACCGTCATTTTGGTGTCACCCCTTTCATAGGTCGCACCCTTCGGCCTCACCCTAGTAATATCATTGATCGGAGAGAAAGGTGGCTTTTAATTGTCCAGTTCTGGGCTCTCAAGCACAGAGCATTTCCGTTTAAAGCAGTGCATTGGTGGTTTACCAAGAACATCAAGATTTAACGAGCC